AATTTTTAGCCATGTGTTCAAATTGTTTTTCACTCCGCCTTTCCTTCCTCTCTGTCCAGAAAGTCCAATGACACAAACATTAGCTCTTTAGTTATAGCCCCACAGGTGTATAGCCCCACTGAGTCTCTGTTCAATTTTTTTTCAGTCGATGTTTTATTGTTGTTATTGATATTGGGTAGTTTCTATTGTTCTCTCTTCAAGTTTGCTGAGTTTTTTGTTTCAGTTGTTATAATTTTCAGTTCTAAAACTTCCATATCATCTTTTTCAGTGTCTTCTATTTCTTTTCTGAGTCTTGATTTTTTGTTTATTTCAATTGGGTTCATGATTGCTTGTTGACTGCTTGAAAATCCTCCTCAGATAATTTTAACAACTATATCCTCTTCATATTGGCATCTCTTGATTGCCTTTTCTCATTCAAGCTGACATTTTTTTGATTCTTGCTATGACGAGTGATTTTTGGTTGAATCCTGAACATTTTGGGTATTACCTTATAAGACTAGATCTTATTCAAATCTTCTGTTTTAGCAGGTCTCCTCTGACATTATTCCAAGGTGGGAGTGGAGAGTACTGCCCTATTACTGCCAAATCAGGTGGAAATCCAAGTTTCTTACTTGACAACAATGACACCCAAGGGAGGGATTGGACACTAGAGCATTTGTTACTGCAAAGGTCTTCTAATATTCTTAAAGTTTTTTTTTTTTTTTTTTTGAGCCAGAGTCTCACTTTTGTCACCCTCTGTAGAGTGCTCCGGCCTCCTAGCTCACAGTAACCTAAACTCTTGGGCTCAAGCAATTTTCTTGCCTTAGCCTCCCAAGTAGCTGGGACTGTAGGCACCCACCACAACACTCAGCCACTTTTTAGAGATGGGGGTCTCACTCTTGTTCAGGCTGGTCTCAAAATCCTGACCTTAGGCAATCTACTCACCTAACCCAAAGTGGTAGGGTTACAGACATGAGGCACTGCGCCCCACCCTATTATAATTTCTAAAGGTTTTACTTGTATTGAAATTACAATCAAGTAATTTAAGGAGCCAAACAATTCTGCAAGGCTTGTTATAAAAGCAGTAGACCCTGCCCTCATTCCTCATCCCATCCTCCATTTTCTCTCCCACTTATGGGAAGCCACTTCTACCTCTTCTGTTCACATTGACCTCTGTATGTATAAATGACACACTATATTGCTCCTTTGTGAGTTTTCAGTATTAGGAATTAGATACAGACTTCCCACTCTGGATGGTTGGATTTAATTCTCTGTCTACTCAATCTCCTCAGCATGCATCACATGTCCCATCCCTCCACCTTCCATGAAATCCTACATTGTAATTTAGGTGGACCAATAGTCAACATATACATTAATAACTATACAAATACTTATTATACCTAAGCTGAGACAAGTGAATACTATAATAGTCGTTTCCTACATTGCTTTTTTTATTTTCCCAAAATTAATGATTGCCATTTATTCATTGCTTGTTTTAAAAGAATCTACCATCAAACTATCCCACACTCTCTCCCAACTACATCAATCTCTCTCAATATATTAAAATGTCAAGTGTACTACCAATTTCCTCTCAAAGAAATCTCTGCTAGAGTAAGATATGCCAAAATTTTGATAGTCTTGCCTGCATGCCTGGAATAAAATATCTGAGAAGTATAGAACTGTGGTCTCACTCTAACACCAGAAATGTCCAGTACTACTATACACAGCAAAAATTCAACCCATCAGGGAGTATGGCCACTTGGCTGATGCCTGGGTTCTTTCTGAATCAGCAATCTCCTATTTGCCTGTGTGCAGCAAGACCGCGTGTTTTCCATTTATGGTCTCTTGGGGGATCTCTAGGATTGCCACAACCTATTTGCCTACTATTAGCATTTGCTTGATCTTTTTCTTTATTTTTAGTCTTTTTGGGTTTTGTTTTATGTGCACTTCTTCTAAGCAGGATTTAACTGGATTGCACTTCTTGGTTTTATTTACTTATTTATTTTTACTCAAATCAAAAATCCCTGTCAATCAATAGGTGAATTTAACTCATTCGAACCTGTGTTTGAACTTATTCCCATATGCATTATTTTGTTTTATCATTCTGATGTTTTATTTTGATTTATAGAATAATTGCAGCTTTGTAATATTCAAGTCTGTTATTGGTCTTTGTTTCTTATAGCCACTGGATGAACTCCCAGTGATTTACAGATGTTGCACATTATACATTGCTTTGTATCCTTTTAGTCTCTTTCCTGATTTTGTTAGATTTGCTGAAATTGAAGTTCTATTATTTTTCACATGGTTTAAAATATACGTATTCTGTTTATAGTGTTCTATATCTATTTTTATGTTCTTCAACATATAAATTAAACTTTTTTCCATTTACATTGCTAAAAAATAACCTCTTCCTAATGAGAAAAGAAGCTTAACATGCTTTTTACTTTTTATTTCAGACTAATGGGTACATACAAATGATTAGATTACTTTGTTTGCATTTCTAAGGTAAAGTTCAAGTTCTAGTTGAGCACTTCCTCCAGGGGTGTGCTGTATACCCTTACATTGTGCACATTAGCTAAGAGCTTACCAATCCTCTACCCTCTTCCCCTGTCCCCTTACTCTCCTCTCTCTTACCCCGAAACATGCTTTTTATTCTCTTCACTCCATTTGTGTTGATAACATTTGTGGTTTTCATTTTAGACTATTATTGATATTTTTTACAATTAACATTTA